GTGTGTGTGTGCTCGCCTTTGTGTGTGCTTCACGTTTGTGTGTGCGTGAAACCTGGAGGTAGATATTAAGCAGTGGGATTGCTGAGTAATATGGCAAGTCTATTGTCACTTTTATGAGAAATCTCCATGCTATTGTCTAAGGGGTTGAACATGATAACATTCTACCAGCAGTGGATGAGAATTCTTTTTCACCACATTCTCGTCAACACAGACTAATCTTAGTTTTATCTGATATATGCCATTCTCTTTGGTGCGAGATGATATTGCATGGTCAATTTGGTTTATATTTCCCTGATAATAAATGATGATAAGTATGTTTTCATGTGCATATTTGTTAGTTGCCTTTATTCAGAAATATGTTGATTCATTTTCTCTTATTGATATTAAGAATAGTTTATATTCTATATAAAATAAAATTTTAGAAAAATGTTTATTTTAGGTCCCTTTCAATTTCTTATTATTTTTGATCAAAATATGACCATATTTACTTATTCAAGTTGAAATATTAAGTTTTTAGGTAATTCTTAAAATAAAAGATTAAAATATTACATAAAGACTGTAGCACTGTCCTCCCATTGTTCATCGATTTGCTCAAGCGGGCCCAGTAACGTCTTCATCCTGAGACTTGTTGTTACTGTGTTTGGCATATTGAATATGTCACGAGTAGCTTGCCAGGCTTCGCTGTGCTGGCGAGATACTCTCAGTAGTTGCCAGACTCTTCAAGAGGGGTGTAGGAATTGAACCTGGCTCAGTTAGGCCAGCGGCTTGCAAGGCAAACGCCCTACCGCTGTGCTATCACTCTAGCCCCAGTTCACTTTTTAATTTGGAATTAAAGAATGAATTAACAAAATTAATGAACAAAATTCAGCTTACTTTGTAAAAATAAATCTTGATGACAATAATATCAACACTACTACTAATAAATTAAACTTTCTCCTATATACTGTTTACATAATTACGATTAGTTTACCTCTATGTACATTTAAAAGTTTTTAATTTAATTTGCATGTTTTTTCTATAACTTAATAATTGTTATACTGTGATAAATTTTAGAGGTGAATTTAAGGAGCCACATGTGAATCAGAGTACAAAAACAAAATGGGAAAACTCACATGTCTGACAAAGTAAATATGTTATCTTAAAAAATGGAATTTCAAAAATATATAGATCATAGACACAATAGTATCAAACTTCAGTCTGCTTTTCTAGTCTGACTTTCCTTTCCCATGGTTTGATAAAGTTTACCAGCAACAAATGTATGCTTTGTAGTTTGTTCCCAATAAAAGATACAGATTATCAATTTTTTTGTGTTTAATCTTGCAGTAATCAGAGAACCAATGTGATATATAGGAGAAAGGCCTGGAGATTGTTGTTGATCACAGAATTATAAAAGAGATAAAACTATAATGATTGACTTTACATATGTTAATCTCTCTGCTGCCTGGTATTTTTTCCAAAGCTATTTTTCTCTCTTTATAATTTTCTGGTATTGATTATTTTCTTATCTATTAAATAATTATTTTAATATTTGCTACCTAAAATATTTTTTAAGTATCTATTTAATGCAAACATTTTATAATACAGATGTTTTAAATTCATTCCTGTTAGACTTATACTCATTGTTACTGGATACACTTGTTTATTTTTTTCTTTACTTCACTAGAATGAAATCATCATGCTTATGTTCTCCAAAGCAACTTAAAAAAAATTACTGCATTATTTATGGCTGTATTGAAAAATTTAAAATATGTCCAAAGGGCATAAAGAGATAAAAACAAATAGAAAAAGTTAGGATGGAGATAAGTGGGGTGAAGGCAGAATAGATAGCTGGGAAAAAGGGTTGAAAGAGAAAACAAGAAATATAAATATATGTGTATTTATTTGGTAATACATCATGACAGTTATACTGCTATAATGTTTGTATAGCAGACCATATTGTTATCTTTAGTAAATAATGTGATGGATTTTATATCAACCTGAATAGGCCAAGGTATGACCAAGTAATTGACAGCACAACACTTCTGTGGTGACTGTGGTGGTCTAGAACAGAACAACATCATTGTCACTAGACAATTTTAGCAAAATTCACCCCTCACTAATGTGCATGGGCACCACCTAATTCTTTGGTGATGAACTATGTAGAACAAACAATAAATAGGTGATATTTCTTTATTTTTCTGGGTAGGGCCATCTGTTTTTCCCTGAAATGAGATATTGAAGATGCTAGTTCTCCTGGTTTTAAACTATAGGATTTATTTCAGTGACTCCCCCAGTCCCCAGGCCTTTGGACTTGGACTGAGTTATATCATCTACTTTCCTGATTCTTCAACTTCCAGAGGGCATATCGTAGCATATCTCAGACTCTGTAATTGCATAAGTCAAATCCCATAATAAATCTAGACTTATATGTCTCTATATATTTTATTGATTCTGTTACTCTAGAGAACTCTGAAAAATACAGTTATCTATTTTTCTGTAACAAATTACTCCATGACTTATCAGCTGTAGGCCAAAAAAAAGACATTTATTATATCAAACTATTTCTGAAGGCTAAGAAACTGAAATCAGTTTCACAGTGTTTCTGATCATAAATACACACACACACATACACACACACACACACACACATGAACAAAAACCAAGAGGCCACCTACTCTAGCTTATTGGGCCTGCCAATGTGACAGTGACATTTTGAAATTCTAGACAGGTTATGGTCTGGAGTCATCAGAGATATCCTGGCAGTGTTTAGGGAAAATAAAGTACCAAAATCAAACTCAAAACCTTGTGAATGTTTGACATAAATGACTACCCCAAAGATCCTTCTTGAGCTAATTTGTAATCAATTTAGATTATATTTAGCCACAGCTACAGACTTATCGGTGGTTTACAGAATTAATTCCAAATTCAGGTGACTGTTAAGAAAGATAATAGGACAATTGTGAATAGAAAGTTCACTTTCTGGTGAGGGTCTGGTGTTGAAATAAAACTTTACTATTATCATTATTGAAATTTATGGTTCTGAATATTTAAAAACAAATACAAACAAAAATTAGGTTTAAAAAAACTCATTTCATTACCATGTGGAACTATTCATAATATGAAAAATGAACTCCCACAGGGTCCAAGAAAAAGAAACCTAGCTATCAAGATAAAAAGGTTAATGATTTTATAAGAAAATCTGAATATTACTTAATATCATCTTTTTATACCCCACTTATCAGATATAATCATTGGATTAAATAATTCAGAAGGTATATGATTATGAATATACAAGAGATGGTAACAATGAAACAAGAAATGGAGACCGATAGCATAATTAAACCCCTAAGTCCCAAGGCTTATTGACTTTTAAGCTTTTTCAGCTCCACAACAGATTAATACCATTCACAATCGATTCATCATCTAGATATTATCATCCAAATCAGATCAAGATGCAGTTATAACATTTTAATGTAGTCTATAAGTACATATCTTTACTGCAATTCCTTTTAATATGTAGACCTTTGACTTAAAGAGATAATAGCACACACATTATAAATATATAATTTTAAAACAGGTACAGGATACTTGATTCTCTTTCCTAGGAATTATTCTACAAGGCTTTAGTTAAGCTCTTTGAGGCATGCCATTCTTTCTAAAAAATAGAAAGTGGCATATATGAACATATATGAGAAAAATCATTATTTATTATCTCTATGTTAATCACATAGCAATCTTTTCCTTTTGTGTTCTGTGACTATAAGATATTATTTATGCAAATTGTTTTGTTTAAAATAACAGTGAATGTTTTGTACAATATTGTCAATATTGCAACAATCTCACACCTTGTCCACCACCAGCCCCTCAGTGTCCTCAAATCCCAATTCCATTGACCATATCTCATATCTCTAGATGTGTTTCCTCTGGGGAATGTCTAGTGCTGTGCTTTGCTTCTTTATACCCTACATACAAATGAGATCACCTGATATTTATTTCTTTAGTACATTTCACTTGGGCTGGAGCGATAGCACAGTGGTAGGGTGTTTGCCTTGCATGCAGCCAACATGGCCGACCCAAGTTCGATTCCTCCGCCCCTCTCGGAGAGCCCAGCAAGCTACCGAGAGTATCTCGCCCGCATAGCAGAGCCTGACAAGTTCCCCATGTCATATTCGATATGCCAAACACAGTAACAACAAAGTCTCCAATGGAGACGTTACTGGGCCCGCTCGAGCAAATCGATGATCAACAGGAGGGCCTTTACTTTACTTTACTTCAGTACATTTCACTTAGTACTACTTAGTACTTAGTATGATTGCAATCACGATCACCCTGTTGTTCCTCGATTGCCTCGAGCAGGCCCCAGTAATGTCTCCTTCATCCTAGCCCTGAGATTTTAAAAAGTGCCATATTCAAGGCTCTATCAGGGTTAGGAAAATGAGACCCATCATTGTTACCAGTATTTGGCATATTGGGTACGCCACGGGGAGTTTGCTAGACTCTGCCATGTGGGCAGGTAACATAGGGTAGCCTGCCAGGTTGTCCAAAGTACTTAGTACAGCTTTATCCAATTTGAGCAAATAGCAATATTTTCATAGCTGAGTAGTACTCCATCATATAGATCTACCACAAAATCTTTACTCATTTGTTGTTGGACTCATGGGCCATTTTCAAGTCTTGGCTACTACAAATAAGGCTATGATGAACATAATCATGAATATTTATGTTTTTGTGGTGTTGTGCCAATTCCCCCCAAAATTGAGTTGAAGGTCACATGGATGTTCTATTGCTAACTTTTTCAGAGATGTCTCTATTTTAATAGAAACAAAATTATAATAGACATAACACTTCTACCAGATATTCCGTTTTAGTCACATCCCAACCAACATTTATTGTCCCATACATTTTAAATAAACCATTCTCACTAGTGTAAGGTGTTACTTTATCTTAATTTTTTTTAACTTCCCTGGTAATCAGTGAGGGTAAACAGTTTTTAATTGTTATTATTTATTTATTTTTAAAAAATGGTAGGAGCAATTAGGGTGTTGTGAGCCCTAATCACTCAAAGACATTAATCATAAATCATGCAAACTCTAATCACCATGCACTGTCTGACCTCTGAATAGAGGAGCAGGTGAGAATTATTCTACCTGAGGATCGTCAAACATTTTTTAATATGCATGTTGATAATCTTTATGTTTTCTTTGAGGAAGTATCTGTTCATCTCTTTCCCTGTTTTTAATAAGATTGTTTAATTTGCTGTCGTTATTGAGATTTGAGAATACATTTTATATCCTGGATATTAGACCTTTTTCTGATGTATGCTGTGAAATATTTTCTCTCAGTCACCAGAATAAATTATTATTTTAGTCCTCATTTCTTTCACATTATAAAAAATTTTTAATTGATGCAGTTCCACTTATTTCTGCTTTCCTATTTGTCAATGGAGTTGTATTAATGAAGATTCCTCTGACGTCAAGACCTTGAGTCTTGCTTATGTTTCCTCAGTGCATTTTATAAAAATTATTTTATATCAAAGTTTTTTGACTTATTTAGTTTTTTACTATTCTTGGTGTGGAGTGTGAGACAGGTGTCTAGTTTCATTTATTTTGCATGTGGCTAAGCACTTTTCCCAGCATCATTTGTTGAGGAGGGTCTCCTAGTCCCTTTGTCATAAATGTTACTGTGAATATGTCTGTGGGTGTACCCCTGGGCTTCCAATTATCCTCCTTTAATCTGAGAGTCTGTCTTTGTTCTAGTACCATATGGCTTTGATTGTTAAGGATTTTTAGTAGAGATTCAAGTCTAGAAATAAAATGTTTCCTAAACTTTTTTCTTTAGAATTATTTGGGCTATTCTGGGAGTTTTATGGTTCCATCTGAATATTGAAGTGTTTGTTCTATGCCCTTGAAGAATTAAGTAGAAAATTTGATGGGGATTGTGTTGTACTTAGGGGTTACTTTAGACATGATGATCATTTTAGCAAGATGTGTCTCCCAAGCTATATAAAAAAAATAGTGTTTTCTCTTGTGTTTTCTTTTATTTATCTAATAAATAATTTCTAATTTAAACTATATACATTTCTTACTCCTTTTACTAAATTGATTCCTAGATATTTGTGGTTTTTTAAGTTTATAGATGGGATAGTTTTTAAAAACAGTTTATTTCTCTTCTTCTTCGCTGTTTATATATAAGAAGGCAACATATTTTCATGTGTTGAATTTGTAGCCTGCTGCTTTACTATAAAAAATTATAATTTCAATATATTTTTCTTGGTTTTTAGTGGAGACTTTTTTATGTTCATTTACATGTCATCTGAAAATATAGTTTAACTTCTTAACCAATCAGAAATTCCTTTATTTATCTTTCTTGCCTAGTTGCTATAGCAAGGAATTTCAATATTATGTTGAAGAGTGTCTGTATTACTGGATAACCACTGTCTTATGTCTGAATTTAGGAGAAATCTTTTCAGTTTCACCCATTAATTCTGATGTTAACTGTGGGTTTGTTGTATATGGCCTTTTCAGTATTGATGAAAGTTCTTTTAATCCCCAATTCATTACGGGTTATCATCATGAATGGATGATGTTTAAGCTTGTCAAATGTACTCTTTATCTATGGAGATGATCATGGTTATTTTTTTAAAATGAGATTGAGAATATTTTAAATCATCAAACTCTTATTCTTTTTTGTTATCAGTATTTTTCTCATCTAAATAATTTCCTTAGAAGTTGCAAGATGAATTTTGGCAGCACCTTTGACACGGCCTTAAAATATTCATTTGTTTGATCACTCAATTCAGTATATGTTTTTTACTTTACCCAGTAGGCTAGAGTTCATCCTTGTGCCACGACTTATTATTGATCCTTTTCTCTAATTTCTTTTCAGGATAATTTAGATTTTAACTGACACTGTCATCATTTCCATAGTCTAGCTCCAAAGACACATACATAATCTAATTTTAACATGAAAATTATTCAACTCCTTGTACAAAATGTAGAAACAGTTACTTGTTTAAGCATTTAAAAATTATTCCAAGATGCAATGGTATATAATGATAAATGTCATTTCAGAACTTATGTGCATTTAGAAAAATGAGCACAGATTCACTGGTCCATTTAATGGAAAATCTTTTGTGAAATAGCATTCATATTTTCAGGTGGGACTCAAATTTTATACAATATTTTTTGTTTAAACTGCCACTAAAATAGTGTTTTATATACTTGAAATTTAAATACAAAAATATAAAATATCCTGAGAATTTTAATACAGAGATCTTTGCTTCTTTAATTTGTGGTTATCTTGCCAAGTAAAAATGATGTTTCTACTATGCCGATTAATTAGCATCAATATTATTTTACTACATATTGAGCTAGATACTTTTAAAGTTTTCATCTTTATTTTATGTTTGAAATCAGGAGATATCATGTGTGTCTGCTTTTATCTTAATTTCTGAATGCCCTTGTTAAGACAAATTGTAGTCAAATAAGACTTCACTGTGTTTTAAAGATTTGCATATTTAAAAAACAAAATATTTAATTATTTTTAAAATATAAATTAAATGCAATGGGATTTCAGGAATTCAAATAGAAAAAACTTACAATTATCAACCATTCAAATCTTTATTTACATATTCACTCATCTAATTACTAAACACATCTGACTAAACTTCTTAATTGATTATATTAAAATATACATGGATAGTGGCCAAAGAGTTATTACAGCAGTAGGCACTTGCATTGCTCACATCCAACTCAAGACCCCTTAGGGTCTTTGGAGCCCAGAAAGAGTGATCCCTGAACCCTCAAAGGAATCAGGAGTTCAGGAGTAATTCCTGATAACTGCGGAGTGTTCCTAGTGAAACAAACACATATGAATATTAAAATAGCTTCTTCAAGAAATTCTAAACAATTAAGCATAGTGGTCAGGTGGAAATATATTCTTTTACAAATAAATCTGTTGTAGAAAGAATTTCTCAAATTCCAAGGTATATTGTTATAGTATATTCTACTTTTTTTTACTTTTTGAGTCACACCTCGCAATGAACAAGGGTTACTCCTGGCTCTTTACTCAGAAATTACTCTTGACAATGCTCAGGGGACCACCTGGGATGCTGGGAATCAAACCAGGGTCAGCCGCGTGCAAGGCAAAAGCCGTACCTGCTGTGCTATCGCTCCAGTCCCACAAAATATTCTATTTTTAAAAGATTTTTTTCTCATCTTGAGGGCTATTTTAATACTATACAATAAAAAAATAAATGTTACTCAACAGTTCTCAGAAAAATCAATGAGTGTTTTCAAAAATGAAAGACCCAGTACAAGTTTTGTTGAATTTGTTCATTTGTCTATATTTATCACAAGAAAATATGACAGAGAGATGATCACATATCCATAGTGATCGTAATCTGATATTTATTGTGTCTAATAAATACAAACAGCAGAACTACAACCAAATATCAAGACATATGTAGCACTGTAGCATTGTCCTCCCATTGTTCATCGATTTACTCCAGCAGGTACCAGTAACGTCTCCATTGTGAGACTTGTTACTGTGTTTGGCATATCGAATACGCCACGCAGAGCTTGCCTGGCTCTGCCGTGTGGGCAAGATACTCTCGGTAGCTTGGTGTGCTCTCTGAGAGGAACGGAAGGATCAAACCAGGGCAGGTCATGTGCAAGGCAAATGCCCTACCCACTGTGTTATATCAAGATATATAAAAAAATAAAAAGCTGAATGAGTTAAGTACATTTAATGCCATGGGAAAGGAATTCATGAATATCTGAGCTAACATGATCTAGCTAAAAAATATATTCAGTAATAAATAATGTGTGAGTAAAGAAATTTAATTGCACCAAGTTTGATGAGTTCTTTTTGTGACTTTTAGAGATGAAGATAAAATGCGACAAGGAACTTCTTGATATTTTTTTAAAATGCTAACAAAAACTGAAAATAAGTTAAAATACAAAAGTTTTAATTGATTGATAGTACACATAATGTATCAATTTGAGCTTTTGTAGTGTATATTATATGATACTCTTAAGTGAACTGGAATTTAGTAAGATAATTTTAAAATTTATATTCAAATGAGCCCAGATATTTCTCAGAGTCATAATTACATTGTATATATTTACATTACTAAAATAATAGATGAAATAGTGAATTGTTACTTTAAAACAAATTCTTGGAAAACAAAGTGTGTCACATTGCATTGTTATAAACATTAGAGATTTTAAAGGTCTTTATAGTTTCTAACACAATGAATTGAGACAGGATTGTCAAGACATGGCTGTTGTTAGGTAAATTCAATATTATAGAATGAAACTAATGTAAAAGACAAGAATATTGAGATTAATTGAACAATGTTTAGCTAAAGTTATCAGTACAGCATAAATTTTTTGGAAGAGTACTATAAACCAGTGGGTCACAATATGACATCAATTAAAACCAGAAACTTTGACATAAAGACTGCTCTTTCTAGATTATAGGACTTGTCAAATTGTGAAAGTGCACAGGGAAAGCCAGGCAGTCAGTGTTTCAAATATTTATAAGATAGATTATGAATAAAAAATCAAATATAAAATGCAGAAAACAAATTTCACTGACTTAAGATTTTTTATTTTGCCTTTATGCATTATTTCTAACTTTACTGTGCGAATATCTTACTACATAAAATGTGACTTGATATTTAATTTTAAGTGTTTATCGTTTCTTAAAATAAAAATTGTGTTATTCTTGTATTCTTTCATTTTACATCATGTTTCCAAGTTATTAAATTTCCATAATCATTTTAATATTATTAGGATGCTGCATATGAAATTCAAAACTGTATTTTAAATATATGTTAATTATGCTTTTATTTGAGTGCATTGTTACTTTTGTAAAATTATTTTTGGGGACTACCCCCAGATCTTCCAAGAGTACACACTAAAAGACTAGTTCTGCACTCAAAAATTACTCTGATGGGGCTTGGGATAACATATTTGTTGTTGGGGATACAACGTGGGTCAGCCACATGGAGTACAAACCCTTTTCTTTGTACTATCTCTCTAGCCATTGTGGTGATTTTTATGAACATTATTTTAGCACCTGTTTAGAAGGAAATATTAGGCAAAGAGTACACAAGGTTTCGAAGACACAATTTATTGAAGACTCAATTA